GTGTTAGAGAACTCTACAATCGGGTATATCGGTTGGACGTTAACGATACGGGATGTAGGTGGGACGGTGGGTGGCGGTTACGAATATAGATACGGTGGGGGGATCGGCAGACTACATCGATTGACATACATATCGCGATGCGATATACATATATGTTATATACTGATGCTATTTGGTACTGATTTATCTAGTTACTGAGATGCTGATAAGCGATACTACATACGATATACGATATACGATATATACACTGAGTGATATACAGGATTGGTTTAGCAAGCTGAGCACAATCGGCATGATGGGATGGACGGATCTAAGTGACTGGGTGGCACTACGGAACTACACAACTTACATCCGAATCGAAGGAGGTGAGCATGTTCTTCAAGGCACTTCTCTTCTGCGACAGCATGTCCTTGAACATCTCCGTCGTGGACTGGCCATCCTGGCTGTCCGCCGACGACAACCGGCGATTGATCGGAGCTCCCGGATGTGAACCACCACCAGGACCACCGTGTGGCAATTGGGTAGAGCTCTTCCGCGACTCCTGTGGCGATGCCCACTCGCTGCCCAAGGCTGAATGCGAACCATTTGGCGAGCTTGGCGATCGCAGGTTCTCCCGACTGCCCATTGGACTGGCCGCGTGGCTGGAGAGCAGGCTGGAGGACATGTCGCTGCCCTCGTTGATCTCCTTGCTCCAGTAGTGCGTGTGCGCCACCTCCATCAGTTGGAACACAGAGGCCATACCGCCCAGGCCGAAATTCGCGAAGGTCACGTCCAATCCGCCGGCTATCGCTTGAACGCACTTTAGCATGCCCTTCCACACGGGCTTCGTCACGCACTGCAAAGATAAATGGAGGGGTTATGTCGGGTTTCACAATCCTTGAAGTTCAATATCTTCCAGATCATAACTTAACCTACCACATCGTCGATGTGATCATCTGGGGCGATCTTCTTGTCCAGCGTCTTGTTGAGCTTGCTGAGGACCAGAGTACGATAGGACTCGTCCTCCATGAGCTTCTTGAACCGGTTGAGCTTCAGCCAGCCGACACCCTCGCCAGCGAGCACCTGGTTGGTGACATCCTTGAGGAAGGTCTGGTTCTCGGCATTGCTGTGCGACCGCTCCTGGTTTTGTTGACGGGTCAGCTCCTCCTGCGTTTGCCTCGGACCCGAGTGCTTGATCAACGGCGTCCGCTCAACGAGACCTTTGCGTCCGGGAAACGGATCGAAATTGATGCCCGTCTTGCTCTTTCCAGATGACACACTAGCTGGTTTCTGTGGCATAGGAACCTGCTTCTGTTGGTTCTCTGCAATGTGACATTTTGGATAAGTTTATTTCATATCTTTGAGTTTGTCGGTCACTTACTTTTGCCAAACATGCCCGAGAACATGGTGGATGTGGAGGAGGCTAGACCATTAAAATCAGTGCCAATGGAGGAGAAGAAATTGTTGCCACCACCCATTCCGCCACTTTGCTGCACCTGCTTGTGGGTGGCCAACTGGGAGCCAGGAGATTTGGGTGGCGGTACTGCCACGGCCGTCGGATGCTCCTCGATCTTAATGATGCCCTTCTTGGTGGCCGCCTCCTTGGCCGTCTTGGTGAGATCGCCTAGTGTTGACTTGCCCACGTAGGTGAGATCCTCCAGGGTGTTCTTGCTCACACCAGCAGCCTGCTTGGACACCTCCAATGCCTGCTTGGAAGCCTCTCCGGCTGCCTTCTTCGCGTGCAGCGTGAACTGTGGACCCAAAATCGAATAGGTATTAGCATTCGGGTCTTAAGGAAATTGTTTCGAAACTACACAATCGCCTATGTGGTGCTAATAATCAAAGCTCGAGTCCCTCAATCCACCAGGTACCGGATTGAGGTCTACTTTTAAGAAATCTACAATGGCACTACAAATCCCATGAGAAGATCGGTGGAAGGGTGTGGTGAGGATGTGGTTGGTAGGATGCTTTAAGAAAGGGTTTGGTTGTGAAAAATCAGTAGTGACATTTTTACGATATGTATTTTATATGTAATGACTGTGAAAAATAAACTAGAAATAGGGATAATAACTTAAAGGATTGAATTATAATAAAAAAAAAAGATTGGAAATATGTGTAGCCAGATAAACAAGTAGTAATATGTATTTTTAAATTGCATGCGGTTTGCTGGGTAAAGAGTTTTATGTTCAGATGGGTGACCAGATGGATGATAAGCTTAAATGATTTCTACAAATCTTCCCTGCTTTAATTGATTTGATGTCTATAAAGGACTTACGTTATTCAGTTAATGAAATGTAGTGATAAGTGAATGTAGAGTGCGGTGTTATGAATAGAGAAATGTTATTAGATTTAGGCGATGTATGATAGCGTGATCGGTGGATCGGTTCTGGACGGATGGGATGGGAAAGTGCGGCGGGAGTACCAACCTTTTCGAAGGTATGACGCATTTTGTCGTCAAGATCTTCGTCCAGCGCATGCTACAGTACGGTACATTCATTTCAGGTTCAATCAAAACAACGCAACACCGCCAACATAAAAGTAAAAGATAAATAATAATCAGAAAAGAAAAACCAATAAACCACGAAGACGTAGAAAGAAAAGGAAAGAAAAACAGATCAACGATCAGAGCACAACAGCACATCGAGTTAGAAAATTTGCCCCGAAAAAACCCCAGATTGCACTCACCTTATCCACATGGGCTAGTAGACCCTCCTGACTGCTCTGTCGAGTGGTTTCCCGCACCAGCTCTTTGGCATGGGAGGCGAAGTTCTCGAAGAGGGAGCTCTGGGAACTCTGGCGTCCAGGACTGCTCGAACTGGAGCCGGAACTGCCGGTCCGGGCCAGAATATTACTCACACCCGGCTGCTTTACCGGTGGCGTCAGCGGTGGCTGCAAATATAGGTATTTTTGATTGAAAAAAATAAAAGGGATTTAACTTAAACTCCCCAACTCACCGGTATCTTCTTTTCGGGCCGCTCGGAATCGCTGGGATGTCTTTGGAGCTTGGAGCCGGTGGCTATGATCTTGCCCGTGACCGTGGAGCCCGTGTCCGATTCCTGCTCGATGCTGGCCATCTTGATGGTGGCCTCCAGTCGCATGGCCAACGGTGTGGCCAACTCGAAACTGGGTGCAGTGGCTCCACCACCACCAGCTGCTGCTGCTCCTGTTGCTACTGTCGATCCCAGAACTTGTTGGCCGCCCTTCGGCTGGAAATCAAACTCCGAATCGCGATTGAAGCTCGGCGAACTTAGGTCCGAGCGACTGGAGGATGAGGACACCGGACTATCGGCACGCTCCTCATCCTCCTCCGCTTTGCTGGCCGCCGCATCGGCAATGCCCTCGGGATATTGCAGCTTGCTGGGTGGATGGTAGACCAATGCCGGGTCCAGATTCGAGGATAGAGTCTGGGGCACCACATGCGGTCGATTGTACGAGCCGAAGACGTCATGCTGACTGGGCGACAGATCCGAGGAGGCCATTTCCGAGACGAAATCACTTAGGGAACTGTACGAGGAGCTGCTGCTATCCGCTCCCTCTGAATCCGAACCACTCTCGTCCGTCGGCTGGCACTCAAGTTGTTTCAGCGATCGCAGAGCTCCGTTCAGCGAGCTTCCATCGTCCCACACCGAAAATCGAATTGGGGTCAAGGCGTGGGCGAACCACTTGGGCTTATCGCCCACCTGCATGGGATCCATAACCCCAGTTTGAACCCGCAGGAAGGCCACATTCGTGGGCGTTAGTGACCACTCCGCCAGAAACTCCACCGCCTGAGTCCGGGCGAATTGGTTCAGGAACTGTGAAGCTCGTGGTCGGGATCGCAGGAAACTATTGATCTGGAAAGCGACCACTGGACGTGGATATAGCCTTAAGGTTCGTGTATGCTCAGCGAAATTAGCCAACGTATTTTGGGCATTGAAAAACCGCACCATCGCCACTCGTGTGGCCACGTCCACCGAATCCACATCTGTGCCATAGACGAATGGATTTAGGGCTGGTGAGTTCATCGGACTCGGCTGCCGGGAGCTCATCGCCCCCTGTGCTGACATCGAGTTCCGTTGACTGGCCTGTGCCGAGTGCGGTGGCGTCTGAAGTGGTAGACGCACCTGCGATACCCTGTTGGATAATCAGAACAATAAAGTATGAACAAATCGAAATCAATAATATCTTTAGAAAGGATATCAGGTATGGATACGGAAAATAAACAACAAACAATAGAAACGGACAAAAAATAACGGACAATGAACAACGGACAATTATCATGAAACAGAGACCATGAATACAACACTAAACCAAAATCTTCTATTGGTTTTAATCTTTAATATGTTTTGTGACATTTAATAGTAAGTTTTGTTACAATGACAAGAAGACTTTAATTTTTCAACATGTTCAATTCGTAATATGGACCTTTAAGATCACTTACCCGAGCAATGGTGGTTCTTGGAGACTGTCCCGTACCGATGGCAACAGTTGTTGCGAGGACACCGCCGTATTGGTGGCCGTCATTGAGGTGAGTGCCTGTGGAACAGTCCATTTAGAGCAATTAGTAGGGTTAACTCTCAGCTCAAGCCATCTAAATGAGGACTTCAACTTGGCTAACTATAAGATTTGGGGGGTGGGAGGATCGGAAAGCTTTTTGAAGGCGTAAGGCCACTTCAGTTATTAAGTAAGTTAGTTAGTTACTTAGATAGTTAGTTATAAAAGTTGGAAAAGGGGGAGAGATAGAGAGACTGACTGGGCATGCACACGAAACACGTAACACTATAAGACAGCGACAGATAGTTAGAGAAAGTGATAGAATCTTCGGATGGAAATTACGAAATTTCCTTCACTTGAAAGAAGGTAGCCTAGCTAATTGGAAACCCTTTTTAAAGCTTCGCTTCAGACTAAAGTTCAACATCAAGAGTTAGGCCATTATGTCTATGTAGAATGACTGTGCATGCGGTTAGTTCTATGTTCTATGTTAAGTAATTCTTTCGTTTACGGATATTCACATATAGTTAGTATATTCTTAATGGATTATGTTTAGTATGTACAAACGCTTTCAACTCAAATATAACGATAAACGAAAACCAAACGTAGTTAACACTTTTGCGAACGATATTTACACCAAGTCCAGCTTCATCCATCAATAGCATAGCCTGCCGATGTTGTTGTTGTTATTCGATTTGTTGTTGTTGTTGTTGTAGTAGTAGTTGTTGTTGAAGTTAAAGTTGTGATCGAGTATAACAAATTTCATATAACAGATAATGCATGAGTGTCAAAAGTATAGCATTAGAGTAGAGACAGAGATGGACACACATCAATAGGCAGAAAGAGAGGCAGTGAGTACACAAAAAAAAAACATAAAAAAAGAAAGAGAGAGATAGAGAGTTGTACAAGTGTTTGAGGAGTTTTTCGATGGGGTTAAAAATTAAATTAAAATAAAATATTATTGTGGTGCTCTCTTAATATTTGCTTTATTACACACCAGAGAACTCCATAAGTAGTTAGATATATTTATTGGAATTAAAACAATCACACACCAAAGTTTAATGGAGCAATGATAACGATTGAATGACAGCGATAAAGATAGCTTCTGCTCTAGGCAATTCCCTTGTGGTTGAAATTCTCCTTAGGAGCAGGCAAATTTTCAGGTGATCTCGGTTAAATAGACATGGAAAAGCGACATTGGCTTTGGGCCAAGTGTATGACATGAGCGTTTATTGAACGCAAAATGTGCGAACCGCTTACCAGTACCTAGGATGAACACATTTTCACAAAAACACATTTTTAAGACTCTGGAAATTCACTTTTTAAAAAAAACATAAACATAAAATAAACCAAATAAACTATTTCCTTTGTAAATGTTCCTTAACAAATTTAACTTGAAATATAAATATAATATAGTAGAAAAAGAGAGCTTCTGCTTGGGCGCCACTTCTTTTGGAAGACAAACATATCTACCACTTCTTCCAGTATATATTTTGTTTCTAACTTTGAAATCATAGAAGATCAGAAGGCTTTGTGCCTTTGGTTGAATCACAACATTGCTTGTCTCACTCACTTCTGCTCACTCATTAGTCCGAGCTTTATATATTATATAATATATTTTTTGTATAGTCGAGTTCGGTCACTAAGAGCCATGTACAGTCCCCACATCGCCCTTCTATCGACCGTGCAGGCCAACGACTCCCGTCACCGGGCCAAGCTCCGTTTCCAGCGCCGTCCCACGGATACCACCTTCACGGATCCGCGTGTGGAGCAAATGATCGTCTACCGGGCCCTGCTGGAGCACCTGCTGCAGCAGAAGGCCCACTTTGACCATGAACGGGAGCTGGAGCTGCAACGCCTCGAACGCTTTCGCTGCGAGGGAGCCACCGAGCGGCGACTGCAGGTGCAGGAGCAGGTGGTCAAGAAGGTTCAGGCCATGATGCCGGGCATCGTGTTCAAAATGCGCAACGAGGTGGACAAGCTAAAGCGCTTCTTTGACGGCGACAAGGAGCAGGAGATTCGCCAGCTGGACACCGCACTCTACGACCATTGTCGCGATCTCCTCAAGAACTGCCAGCTTCTCCTGGACAATCTACATTGATTCGTCAAATTAAATGTTACCGTTCCCATTATCGTTCAGCATGTCAAATTAATTTGTGCCAAAAAAATACATAACACGAAACCAGCCCTCATTACACTCAAATAAAACAGTCACTATTAAAAAACATTAAAAAAACATATTTTCTATACCTAAAAATATCCTAAATATTCTCTTTCTTTTGTGTGAATTTCCAAAGTTTAGGAATGTAGTTTTTAAATGCATCCATTTGATTTTGAAGATCAAGTTATATATACAAAGGCCCAAGGACGAGGAAGTGTGGCTTACCTGCTTGAGGTGGTTCTTCAGGATGGTGCCCTCGGGCTCAGGTAGCGGTGGTATTTCCTCGTATCCACCAGTCGGTGGCGTTAGTTTGGTGGAGTCCAGATCGACCACCCAAATGTCATCCGGTAGCCTAAAAAGTATAAAATGAGCAATTAGTCCTCTACAAATCAAAAAAAAAGAGGGAAAAATAATGCCTAATCTTTAATACTATTTCTTAAAAGCAAATCCTACCGGAAGTTCTTTTTGTAAACCAGGAAGGAGGCGGGCACGCCGATGACAAAGGGCGTAGGCGCCAGGAGCAACTGCTCCGCACAACTGAGGCAGGTGGGCAGCAGCGGGATGACCGGGAACATGTACTCCAGCGGATACAGCATGGTGACGAAGGCCATCACCGACATGGACAAGGCGTTGTAGTCGCGCGACTGGAACAGCACCTTGTTCTCCTGCATGATCAGGGTCCACACCTTCAGGCAGGTCTCCACGCCGAGCAGCTCCAGCGGCAGGTGGAGCGGGAAGTCCACCAACGAAAAGCGAGTGTGGTCGGGCAGCGCGAACAGCAGTGGCTCATGCACCGTCGGCGACAGCACCTCCACCTGAAAGGATAAACCAATCTTAATACCTTTGCTAAGGAACTCTTGTCGATTTGTTAACTACATTTGGGTACAGGGTTTTTATTTAACCCTTCTATATACCTCTACAAGTTCGTCGTGTAATTCCCTAAAGATCTGCATTTAAATCTTGAATTATAATTTTTTGTTGGATTTTTTGTCATTTTTTATGATGAAACCCCTTTCCTAATTTCTAAAATAGCATTACAGAAAAATGACTTAAAACCTGCACATCTAAGCCCATAACTTTTCTAATTGAAGTCATATTTTTAAGTGGCATACTTTAAAAGTCTTGTGGTTTAATTCCCTAAAAATCTGCATTCAAATCTGGGTGTGTAATTTTTTTTCGATTTTTTGTCATATTTTATGATGAAGCCCCTTTCCTAATTTCCGAAAAATGGCTCTGCATAAAATTGATCTAGAACCTGTACTTTTAAGGCCATAACTTTCCTCATAGAAATCCGATTTCGAAGTGGTATACCTCTAAAAGTTCGTGGCTTAATTCCTTAAAAATCTGCATTCAAAAATTGGTTTTTCATTTATTTTGATTTTTTTTTTTATTATTATTATTTTTTTTTTTCCTAATTTTCGAAAAATGGCTTTGCAGAAAATTTATCTAGAACCTGAACTTTTAAGGCCTTAACTTTCCTGAACCTATTTACCTAAGTGATCTTAACCACTCACCTCGACTCGTGTGGATCCGGGCACCGGAACCGGCGTGGACAGCAGTCGCAGGATCCAGGTCTCGATTTCTCGGACATCGTGCAGGACGATGGAGGGCGTGGCGTCGCTGACATGGCCCGTCAGCACAGTCCACACATTGTCGCGGTTCATCTTCTGGGAGGCGCCCACCCGCTTCGGCGACGAGGACTCGTTGCAGGCATCGATCAGCTTCTTCAGGATGAAGAGGCACTCGCGGAAGGTGGTGAAGAACGGATGGTGCGAGATGATGCACAGCGAGGTGAGCGACTGGTTGCGCAGCTTCGTCCTCTTTCGGGAGGCACGCGGCGAGGGGGAGTGGCTGCCGCCGGACTCGGAGTCCGCCGATGGGGCCATCAGGCCCAGCTTGGGCACCGCCGGACCCGCCGACGGGTGGTGTGACGGATGGTGCGACTGGTGGTGCGACTGCTGCGAGTGGTGCGAGTGATGCGAGTGCAGGCGCTGCTGGTCCGAATCACGACGAGAGGTCAGTTCTCGATCCGAATCACTAGGCGCTACGTTACTTCTGTAGTCGCTAGAAGAAGTTAAGAGGCCGTAACTATTATGGAAATGGTTTGAGATGCGTTAGACGGGGGGTTTTTGGCAATCAAAAGTGGTATTTGTTTGTCTGAGTGTACGGTGTGACCCCATTGTGACCCCCACATCCTGGCACACAACACTTGCCTGCTAAATGCCGAATCCGAGCTGCGTTCCATGCTCTTGCGCCACGATTCCCGCCTGAAGGCCGACGACCGCCTTCCGCCCCGTCCACCGCCTCCGGCTCCGCCAGCTCCACCGCCACCGCCGCCATGGCCACCGGGTCCTCCGTTTCCCGGACGATCATTACCAGCTCCCGCCGAGCCCGCCACCGAACTGGGCCGCTCGATGGGGCGGTAGAAATTAACGCATATGCCATAGCGCGTCTTGCCCGAATCCTTGTCGGTCAGCGCAAAGACGAAGGAGGACATGTCCCGTATGGCGGAGCCAGTGCGTCGAGGTCCCACGCTGGTGCACCCCTCCGGCTGGCAGAAGTACACCATGTCCAGGGGCAGCGGGAAGTCAGCATGGTCCGATGGGGGATAGCGACGCAGAAGATCGGGCACCTGTTATAAAACAATACAAATAAGTATTTAAAATAATAAACTTAATTTTGGTAAAAAGGAAAGTACCATAAAATCCAAGACATTTTAAATCTCTACATTTCACCGTATAGAAAACGCCTAATGCGTACATTTAAATGAAACAATGAAATACATTATTCTAAGTAAAAGTAAAGTATACTTCAGCTCTTTGTATTCATTTAAACTTGCATCAAATTCTAAATAAGTACAGTGAAATATCCACCCCTTCCATAACTCCACACCACATTATGGTAGAATTTAAAATATGATTTTTATTATATAAATGTATACTTTAAAATCAAATCTATTTGTCTACCTATTCTCATTGATAAAATACAAATAAAATCCCTATGGTCTAAAAGTATATTTCAGCTTTTACTGTGCGACACAGATTTTTGTACTGTATAAATTTAAACTTCCATTGAAAATGAAATATTCACTGCACAGTAAGTTAAATAAAAGTTGGATTTACAATATATTGTTTTAAGCTTTAAATCAAATCCATTTGTATTAATTCATTATTCAATAGGTAGATCTATTTACGTATACAAATTGGAACAGTGAAATATGCACTATTTTCATTACTTAACAGCAAGGGATAAATCAAAGTAGCAATATAATCAATGACCGACTTACCTGCACCGGCGGGGCCTTGAGTCCTTGCAGTCCTTTTGGCATCGGTGGCGTCGTGTGTGCACCCACTATGGCCATGTAGTCCACCAAGCGGGGACACAGGGAGGCTTTCTGCTGGTCCGACATCCTGGATTGTGTTTGCTGTCAATGGAAGGCAAGGAAAAAGGGGAAAACATGAGTGTTGCCATGACAGTAAGCATGATGAGGCAAGGATTATTTATCCAAGGACTGTTGCATTTAAAAGAGTTTCAAGGCTGAACTCATTAGAACGAAGGCAAGGCTTATTAAAAAAGTGAAATCCGCCTTCAGGGCCTCCCAAGTGTTACATTCAAAGCCTTCTGAATACAAGACTTATGAAGGTTTCTATGGATCCTATAGGTTACTTTACGGGAGTACATGGATGATTAATGTTTGTTAGATGGCTTCATAGTTAAGGCATCCCTTTATCGAGACATATTAATCATGGCAATGTCAAGCCAACTCCCTTCGGACCTCCGCAGATTTCGGGTTAAAGTCAGTCAGTCAACCCGGTGGCCTTCTCTTTGTTGGCTCATGACCTTGCCGCAGGCAAACTAATCCGGATTCAGAGTACGGGCTGCCAATGGAGACCAACTGAGAATGGCAAACAAAGCCAGTTCGGGTAAATTGAATGTCAAAGCACAAATACTTTAAAGTGCCCAATCACAAATTGCAAACCCCCCATTGACGTCAGAGGGAGTGAACTATTGTCGGGTGCTGGGGTCTCTTAAGGTGCCCACATTTCTCCTGTGGGCGGTCCAAAGAATGCCAATTTAGCGCTCTTGGCATGCGAAACCCTCGGTAAGGCGGCACGTGGAAGTTGCCCCAAGGCCGATGGCAAAATGGTGGGATGAAGTGGAAAAACCGCGAGGCAAAGTCAAAATCAACATCCAATTCAACCATCATCAGCGCATCCATCACAAATTAATCTCACTTCATTGACAGGCTTCATTGACTCAGATTAAGTCAAGAATTCACCAACCAAATGAGCACAGGGTGAACACTTCAAGGATGGTATTTTTAACTTCAGACATTAAACTTTCTTTTTAAAGTTATAATAATGCTTACAGTTGGTTTTAATAAAATGAGACCCAGAAATAAAGATTATAGGGCCACGCTAAACATGTACATTTTGAAAACAAAATCACGTCAAGGATATAACGCAAACTTGTAAAAACTTCTAACATACCATTTTAGTGGAATCCTTTTTTGATGTGTAAGGGCATGGAAAAGTTTGCCAGCAATGGACTCATACGTTTTCCTGGTCAACCAGTCCTGCAGTCTACATCCCACCACTTGTCAGGGCGAATCATGTCAAGGCTATAGATGCAGCCCCAAACATCAAAATCCCCCCGTTCTCCCACTCGTTTGCTCGCCCCGGGAAAACTCATTGAAGGGATGCCACTTTGGGGGTACCCCATACCTTCCTCAGACCGCAGACTCCGCGAAATGACATCAGCCTGGACGTGACAGGCGTTCCAATCCCAATATCCGTTCCCATTCCCACTGAAGGTTAAAAATAGTCCAGAGTATCGTGGATAAGAGCGAAACTGTCATTAACCGAAAAATTGTCAACGTCGGTGTGGCAGCGTGAGTATTATTATGAAATCATCCAGCCATCGGAATCGGAGATGTGACGTGTGGTATTGGGTCTGATTGCGTGGTTTCGAGTGTCCCAAGAACTTGGACCAGCCACTTGAGACTCGAAGCTCTAATGGCAGTAGCACACTTCCCAAAAAGCCTATTGATTAACGCCCAACTCATTCCCCGTCCAGTCACTTGACACTTTCTGGTCAGCTCAAAGCTCTAATGGCCTTACCACAACTCCAATTAACTTATAAATTGAATGGAAAGCATTATACATATAGCAGATTTACCATAATAATGGTATAACATTTATGAAC